AAAAAAAAAGCCGTGGCCCTAAACTAGATGATTGCTAAAATTAAAAAAAAAAAAAATCACATTCAAACTATCTAGTAAGGAAAAGAGAGATTTTGAGTTTCTAGGGAAGATCACCATCTTAGATCTTGTCATGGTGTTGCAATGCTAATTATCAGAGAAAAGAAAGCCAAGCCATAACATTGCCCCTTGCAGTACCAAGAATCAGAGATATATCTACAAGTCATCATCTGTCCAGATATCTTTAGACCACTCTACTCTGATTTAAAGTTGTTACTTTAAGATCTTCAAAGGTAATTACTAAGGCAAATGTTCTCAAGAAGTGAATTTCCACATAGTTTTGAGATGCAAATGGATTAACTGAATTTTGGATAGAGAAAGGTGAAAGTATTGAACATTTTATTAATATTAAGTTTTAAAAGCTTTACATTTGTGATACACTAAGATATAGGAGTGCTGCTTCCTAAAGAAATTACTTTAGCATTTTTTGTTGGTATAGAAGTTCTGGAGCTTGGATATCTCTTTGTTAAGCATTTTATAAACTCACAATCTTAGTCCAGGGCTCCGTCCAGCAAAGTTATGCCCTCATCTTCTTCCTTTGGGGGAGAACAGACTGTTACACCTCCAGGCTCTCAATACGTCACATCTGACTCCTTAACATCTTCCAAGGGTTAGAACTTGCTCTAAGTCAGCCTTGAGGCTCCCTCAGGAGAGACTGAAAGGAGCACTGAAATGTTTCTCAGGATGGTCCTTAAACATTATGTAAAATATACATAATAAAATCTACCAGGTTAACCATGTTTAAGCAGACATTTCAGTGGCATTTAAGCACATTAAGAACAATGGAGTTTTTTCTTTCATTTGTTTTTTAAAATTTCTAAGCCCCAAGTTGGGTGTGGTGGCTCATGCCTGTAATCCTAGCACTCTGGGAGGCTGAGGCAGGTGGATTGCCTGAGCTCACAGGTTTGAGACCAGCCTGAGCAAGAGTGAGACACCATCTCTAACAATAGCTGGCTGTTGTAGTGAGCACCTGTAGTCTCAGCTACTCAAAAGGCTGAGGCAAGAGAATCACTTGAGCCCATGAGTTTGAGGTTGCTGTGAGTTATGACACCACAGCACTCTGAGGGTGACAAAGTGAGACTATCTCAAAAAATAAATATAAAATAAAATTTCTAAGCCCCTAACATTAAGAATATTTATGTACAAATGACTTAATAAAAAAGAATAGTATTGTGCAACCCTCACCACCACCATCTCTAGAGCTTTTTCATCTTGAAATACTGAAACTAAACCAACTAAACAATAGCTCCCATTTCCACTCTACCCAGATCCTGAAAACCACCATTCTATTTGTTCTCTATGAGCTCAGCTATCCTAGGTACCATGTATAAGTGAGATCATACAATATTTGTCCTTTTGTGACTGCCTTATTTTCTTTTTTAATTTTTATTTTGAGACAGAATCTCACTCTTTCGCTCTGGGTAGAGCGCCATGGCATCATAGCTCACAACTTCAAATGCTTGGGTCTAAGCAATTGTCTTGCCTCAGCCTCCTAAATAGCTGGGACTGCAGGCGCATGCCACAATGCCGAGCTAGTTTTCCTATTTTTAGTAGAGAGGGAGGTCTCACTCTTGCTCAGGCTGGTCTTGAAATCCTGAGCTCAGGCATTCCACATACCTCAGCCTCTCAAAGTGCTAGGATTATAGGCATGAGCCACTGTGCCTGGCCAAGTTGAAGATTTTCTTTTTCTTTTTTTTTTTTTTTTGGTGGTGGTGAGGGGGAGACAAGAGTCTTGCTCTATTGCCCAGCCTAGAGTGCCATGGTGTAAGCCTAGGTCGCAGCAACCTCAAACTTCTGGGCGCTAGTGATCCTCTTGCTTTAGCCTCCCAAGTAGCTGGGACTACAGGCACCCATCACAATGCTCAGCTAATTTTTCTGTTTTTAGTAGAGATGAATTATTGTTCTTTCTCAGGCTGGTCTTGAACTCCTAAGCTCAAGCAATCCTCCCACTTCAGCCTCCCAGACACTTATGGACATGAGCCACCATATCTGGTCATATTACCTTATTTTTAAGTCCGGTTCTGATATGCATAGAATACTATCCTTACAATGAGTAAGGATATTATGGGTATGGCTGTTACTTCTAGATCAGAAGTCTTTAAAAAGGGAGAGAGAGAGAAATGGGGTATTGCTTGCTCAGCCTCTCAGAGTGCTAGGATTACAGGTATGAGCCACCACTTCCGGTCTTAGATCAAAAGTCTTTGACCAGGAGCTCTTAGAAGAGACCCAGGGACCTAACCCCCTTTTAAGGATAAGTCTCCTATTTATGGTTTTCAAAGAACCATTAACCTGGAAGATACTCACTGTTCTGTGTCTTTTCTGCCTTGGAGAGCTGCTTCTTGTTCCCATATCAAGATTAGCTGCCTCCAGTTAGCCACAACTACCAATCTGCTCATACTGATTGTGTGGCCCTGGATTTTGCTGATAATTCAAGTTTGACAGCTAATAGAAGTGTCACTTGATGTGTAGGCTCCTAACCCCATATTTACCTGGCCGTTTAGTGACTGTGAACTTGGCTTCCTCATAGAAGTGTAATGCAAATGCAAATTAAAACCATAGTGAAATACAATGTCATAGCCATTAGTGTGGCTAGCTCCAAAAAGAAAAGAAAAGAAAAGAAAAACAACTGGTGGTGGCAAGGCTGAGGAAGAACTGGAACCCTTATACACTATTGATGGGAATGCAAAATGGTGCCCCTGCTATGGAAAACAATATAGTAGGGTTATTCAAAAATTAACCATATGATTAAAATCACCATATGATTCAGCAATTCTACTTCTGGGTATATACTCAAAATAATTGGAAGCCCGAACTCTAATAAACATTTATGTATACATGTTCATTGAAGCATTATTCACAATAGTCAAATAGTAGAAGCAATCTAAGTGTCTTTTGATGGATGAGTGGATAAAAAAATGTGGTGAATACATTCAATGGCATATTATTCAGCCTTAAAAAGGAATGAAATTCTGACATACACTATAACATGAATGAACCTTGAAGACAAGCTAGCTGGATATATGTGAGTCACAAAAGGACAAATACTGTATGATTTCACTTAGGGGGTCCCTAGAGTAGGTACATACATAGAGACAGAAAGTAGAATAATGGTAAACAAGGGCTGGGGAGGAAGAGCTGATGGGGAGTTAGGTTTAATGGGTATAGAGTTTCAATTGGGAGGATGAAAATGTTCTAGAGATGGATGGCAGTGTCAACATACTTAATACCACTGAACCATATACTTAAATGGCTAAAGTGGTAAATTTTATATTATATATATTTTGCTACAAAAAAGTTGTATTTTTTTTTTTTGAGACAGAGTCTCAAGTCATTGCCCTGGGTAGAGTGCCATGGTATCATAGCTCACAGCAACCTCCACCTTAGTCTCAAGCAATCCTCTTGCCTCAGTTTTTCTATTTTTGTAGAGATGGGGTCTCACTTGGACTCAGATTGGTCTTGAACTCGTGAGCTCAGGCAATCCACCTGCCTTGGCCTCTCAGAGTGCTAGGATTATAGGCATGAGCCGCCATGCCTGGCCCACAAAAGTTTTTTTAAAATGTCTAATATGAGCCAGGCAGGTGGCTCATTCCTATAATCCCAGCATTCTGGGAGATTGAGGCAGGAGGATCACTTAAGGTCAGGAGTTCTAGACCAGCCTGGGCAACATAGCAAGAACCCCCTCTCTAAAAAAGAAAAAAAAAAAAAGGAATTAGCTGAGCATGGTGTCAGGTACCTATAGTTCCTGCTACTTGGGAGGCTAAAGGAAGAGGATCACTTGAGTTCAAGGCTACAGCAAGCTATAATCACTTCACTCTACTCCAGCCTGGGTGACAAAGACCCTGTCTCAAAAAAAAAAAAAAAAAAG